CTTCAACCTTGCCATCAAAACTGCCATCTAAGTCACAAGATTGCTACAAAATGTTTACAAAAACATCCTGACTGGTCCATCAAGATATTAAAAGCACAGAGGAGAGGAGTTGGGGTGACATGTTGGCGTGTACTCTTTTTCAGCACTGGATCCTGAAGAGTTATTAGCATGTCATTTTAATCAAAGTAGAAATCACAAAACACCTAACCTGTCTCCATCCTTCTGGCCTGTAATCTTGCACCTGGTTGGTTTTGCCTTCAGTATTACTTATGATGATGGACTCAATTATAAAATATTTATTAAAATTGAAACACTTCATTTTAGAAAAGAGGTTCTCTTCTCATGGTTTTAAAAAGTAAATTTGAACAGAAAATAAAATTGTTTTTTTTTGGGGGGGGTAATGATATCTCACAGCTAGCCTTGTTTTACAAAATAATTCTCCTTGCTGTTCCAAGTGGTAAAAATTCATTTCCTACGATAGAAATGAGGGATACTGGCAAAGCCCATCAGTCAGTGAGGGTCTATCTATGGAGATTCCCCAAGGTGAGCATAGAGGATGAAGCAAGAAGCATCCATTCATTTGTAAATATACAATCACTTGTTTTTTTACATCTTTGCTAAACACACACTCACACAAACACAAAATTAGGATATTTCCTGTTTAGTGTGTGAAAAATAAAGAGGAAAAATCTACTTACATTGACAAACACTATGATGCCAATATTTGGGAAGCCGGAGATGTGAGCAATAGTCCAGCACTTGCCTACCTGTGCCAGCCGTGGGGTTTGATCCCTAGCATTGCAACACACCCAGCATGTACGCATGTGTAGGACCCTGAAAGGACAGCATGGCTTCTGGTTGAGCACCAGATCCCAGGAGACCCCAGGTGATCCTAAGGGATGACATGCATTTCACCATGCTCCCAGACCCCAGGCTCCTGGCACAAGGCTGAAGACTTAGGACAATGCCCCTATTAGCCCCTCCACAGGTATAGGCCATAGAGCCTCAAGACAGAGTTCCATATTAATGAGATACCTAAAGGCCAGAGGGTCGTAGCCAATTAAACATTCCTTCCCATACCCACCTCCTTGCAAAAAGTATTTAACCTCAGCACCCCCCCCAAGAAATCAGAGTATAGTTTTCATCCATTTGTCATCATGAATATAAATAAATATCTTAAGACCATGGACTGTTTCTCTTCTTTGGGACCTGCCGTAGGGAACAGTGGAGAAGATTTTCTTTCATTTTTTTATTGAATATTTTATTTATATTTCAGATGTGATCCCTTTTCCCCATCCGCCCCCCACATCTGAGCTGCTTCCTAATCTCTTACAGAGGACCTCTCCATGTTCTCAGCCACAGAGACCACCATCCCAAGCAAGCAAGCCGAGCTAGCCACCCAAGCCAAGCCAGCAGCCGCTATTCCATGTCCAACTGGATTTATGTATAAGTAGGTTAAACTATGCCATGCCTGTGAGCATATTTAGTAACTATTGTCTCACTCACACAAGTGTGTTGTGATTCATGTTTTGTGATCACTAGAATATGCCTTCTGCTCTCATGGTCACAGCATGCCTTGGAAAGTAACAGAAGAAAACAGGTCTATACACGATCAACAATAAAGTACTTAGTTAACAATTTCTGATCCTTGTGTTATTTGGAACATAAATTAGGTTGTGTTTGTATTTCTTTGACTATTTGCATATTATCATATCATTAAGTATATTTGTATCCTGTCCTTAAAAACACCTCAGAAGTCTGTGCATAGTTTTGTCTAACTTACATCAGTCTTTTTCATTTCTAGAAGTTTTAATTATCATAAAGATCTTCTGGTTAAGATAAATTACATAAAAAAAAAAGACAAATTATATCATCTCTAAATTCTCATCAACCGTCCTCATGCTTTTTGCTGATGTCCCAGAGAACATAGATTCTTTTTTGGTATCTCTTATAATGCATCCTTGCATGACGCCACCATGCCTGTGTCCTGATGCCACACCCTGAACTCTTCTTCTTCCTCCTGCTGTTCCCTCAGATGCACTCAGCTAATTAGCCATGCAGGGGCCACTTTCATCTGAATGCATCACCACTTCTCCTGTCAAAACTAGTGCCACTGCCTAGGCCCGAGGTGCTCTTAGCTTTCAGTGGACAATCACAGAAAATTTCTGACCCACTCTTTCCCATCTTACCCTTCTACAGACTTTTCTTGACACCCTAGTCCAGTGGTTCTCAATCTGTAAGTCAAACCCCCTTGGAGGTTGCATATCAGATATTTACATTGCAACCCACAAGAGTACCAAAATTACTGTTATGATGTAGCAACAAAATAACTTTACGGTTGGGTGTTACCATGATATGGGGAACTATATTAAAGGGTAGCAGCATTAGGAAGGATGAGAGCCACTCAGACCTAGCCAATGGTCTTTGCGTCTATCTCATGTTGGCTTCTTTTTGTACTATCATATAATGGTCTCTGTGGCCCAGTCTGCTCCTGACTCCACCTCTTCACACAGTCTCTGCCGTACTTCACTCTAGCCAAAGGTACCCTTTTGTTCAAACATGCAGGCTCATCACACACACACACACACATACACACACACACACACACACACACACACAGGCACACACATACAGGCACACACACACACACATACACACACACACACACACACACACACACACACACACACACACTGTTCTCTTTTTTTTTCTCTGCATACAATTCCTTTGACTATCTTCCGGTTGCTGGTGCCTCAGCCTGCAGATCCCTGATCAAATATCAAGTTCCATGGAAGGTTCTGACTCTTCTGCTGGCCAGTTACTCGCTCCCTTCCTTCTTCTCACCATTTTAACACACCTACTACCATTTCCAATTTAATGTTCATCCATTTGTTTCTTATATCTCCCCCAAACTCTAGAATATAACCTTAAGAAGGAAAGAATAGTCTTTGTATTTAATCATACTAGTTTCTATGATATACAGTCACACAGTGTTTAGGGAGCAGGCCTGAATCTGCCACCTTCCTAACCATGATCTTCTCACCTGCACCTGGAGGCACACAACCAGAATCCTGGCACCTGGGAGCCAGAGCTAGGAGGATCCCTCATTTGAAGCCAACCTAAGTCCTGTGAGAAGGCCCTATCTGAAGCAAGAAAGCCTGCTTGCAAGGTTCACTTTTGGCTATTACCTAAGAACTTAAATAGCTGACAACTTCCTAAGCTGATATAAAGCTTTCTCTAAATTATCAGAAGGCTCAGCCTACCTCGGCACTACAGTCAATGAGCTTTGCATTGAATGCTTGCTTTCTCTCATCAAGTCAGCAAATTGGGCATGCATTAGGCATTAGGCACTACAGGGAGCATCCCCAATAAAAAGCCTGGGCACAGCTGCTCTCCAGACATTTTTTAGGAGATCCTACTTCAGAGGCATCATCTCAACTGGTTGTGCATTGTGTGGTGACTCAGAGAGGCCTCTGCTAGCTTGGCTCTAAACTTTGCTTTTCCTTTGTATCATTTCCTTGTAGTAACTTACTCAGGAGTTCAGCTAATGGCTGACTCCCTTAGGTCTTCCTAGCAACTGCTAATTGCAAGGTTGTTTTTATAGGGCATGGCAACCAAGCTTACTTGGTTTTCTGAGTTCCAAGCAATCCAAAAAGGCAGCCCATAATACAATAATACATACATAATACCTAATACAATAGTTGTCTGAGTGTAAAGACGGGAGCCACTCTTGGAAGCTCATAATCAAATGCCACTCACGTGACAGGTCTGTAGATCTCCTTCACGCCAATGAACTGCAGCTGTTCCATGATGTCCGGGATGCTGGCACACCGGGTTAGGTTGATTCTTGGGTAATAAAGAAGGTATGAGAGACACATCTCATTCCTAGTGCTTAGTCCTCCCTGAAAAATGGAGATATTTTATTTTGCAAAGCTCTCAGACACAGAACACAAAGGTAATGGTGTCACACAGATCCACTCAATTCTGAAATGCATTCAGTCTTTATCATTTTATTTCTTGTGGTACTGAGGGTCAAATCTGGGCCTCAGAGTTGCTGGACAAACCACTACTATTAAGCTCTTGACCCAGCCTCTTTCTAAAACAGTTTAATGCTAGGTCTTACTAGGTTTCTCAGGTTGTCCTTGAATCTATAATCGTTTCACCTCTGCCTCTAAATAGGTCGCTTGAAAAAAATTTACAGGACTCGTAACTTTCAAAATATATTGAAACATTAACTATGAAAATTACCTCTACCCCTTTAAAAAATCCCTTTCCTAGGTAACCTATTAAAACCCCTGAGAGTTCTGTTGATCTGATATAAACCATACCAAAGCAGAGATCTCAGAGGTTCTTGGTGATGCGTCTGTGTTAGGAAATCCCTTTGATGGAATTATTCAGGGTTGTGAGGAAGAGAGAGGGTCTTGTGGAGATCAGACTGCTTTGAATTTCTAACCTTCCTGCATCTACTTCCCATGTACTGTTGGGGTGGTTTCTTAGCTGAACTGAATTTTCTGTGATATTATCATTATTTATATCAATATCAGCAGCCGTGTGCCACTGTGTCGACAGGCAACATGTAAGTGACATTCCACCATATTTTAGTCAAACCTTCAACTATCTGAGGAACCTGGAGTTACTTCAACATTTTCCGTTGTCCAGTTTTCAATTGAAAATTATTAAAAATCAGTGAACTCTGAAATTTACTCAAGGAAAAGAAGTCATTAGTCACACACTGAAAGATGACACAGATGTTAGATTTAGCGAAGGCTGTAAAAGTCGAGTAATTGAAGGCAAATATGATTAAAATGAGGGAAGACTTCAGAAGCGGCACTGGAAAGAGGAAACTCAGATAGGTGGGAGACTAAGTGCTGAAAGTGAAAAATGAAGTAAACTGTCCACAGGAGCACCAGCAGGAACACCCACGTGATGTCCATTCCACGGCAAAGTCCACACAATGTCCATGGGAATGCCTTCAGAAAGCATTCAACAGCACATTTGCTATGACCTAGGGAAGAATTAATGAACTTAAAAATTGATAGAAATAATCCAAATAATAGAGAGGAAAAGAAACTTATAAAAAGACACATTTAACATAATAGAGGTCAGAAGCCCCTGATGAAAGCTGGCTACCTTATCAGAATGAAATACTGCTTGTCCCAAACTGGATATACAAATCTCTTCTACACAGGCTAGAAAGGCAGGTAAAGAATCATAGAAAGCACTTCCCTGAGAATCTGAATTAACCTCTGGAACCCACATAATAGCCAGGTAACAGGGCCCACATCAATAATTAAATAAATAATCAAAACACTCCTACTGCAATATGGTACTCAGAGGTTCTAGACTTTCCCAGAAGTTCACAGACAAGCTAAGCTGGAATGAGAAACATAAGAGCAGAAACAAAAGACCCTGCAGTAAGCTCTTCTGATCTCCTTATGCATACAATGAAAGTAACTGCACTATCTTTATATATACATGTAATTAATCAATCAATAAATAAATAAAGTAGAACTCACAGAGACACACTTATTTTTCTTATTATGGACAGTTGTCGATCATGTTACAATACTTAAATCAAAACAAAAACAAATGCCTCACTTATCTGAATGTCCCATTGTGAATCCCCAACCACATTTCCAAATGTAGGATTGCACATTTGTCATCCTTGCATTCTTTACAACTGTGAGCAAATCTTTTTAATTTAATATTCACTAAAGATTTGATTGTAGCTAACTTTGATCTAGGTATGGCAGTTTCCTCCTATTCCTGGCTATGGCCTTTTTCATCCCCTTGAGATAGGCTTAAGTTTTAAAAAGTTTTTCTCTGCCTCTTTTGGAGAAATCGTATCCTCTTCCTTCAACCTCTTAAATGGAATGGCAGGATACATTCTCTGATTTAATTCAATTTTCCATTTTTTATCTAAACCCAAGCCAGTTATAACAGTCGATTTATACATAAAGCAGGATATAGTCTGTCAATATTTTGCCAACGGTGTACATTGGCCTGGCTCATGCCTTAGAACATATAGCTTTAGATCTAAGATTGTATTCTCTTCATAAAACAAGCTGGTGGGAGATCACCTCTACATGTGTTCCTAGAAGAGACTGAGAAAGGCACAGAATATTTCTTGAAAGCTTGGCAGAAGTCCCCAGTAAATCTGTAGGGACCACATTTCTCTCTGGGTCAGAAGCTCTGAGTTCATGTATTTCATTCTTCCTTTTGAAGTCCGGATTTATCTAAGTAAACACCCAAGTATGCCTAAGTGATATAGAGATGAGTTAATGCCTATCTGATGGGGACAAAGCAAAAGATAAAGAAGGGAAACTTCCCCAAAGCACCAATAAATTACACTGTGGTTATTACCATGGTTTTGAAGCCTGATAAAGCACTAACAGAGCTCACACTTCACTTTATGATCCTTCATGCTGAAGTACTTCAGAGTTTTGTTTCAAGATAGGAATGGACTTTGCTTTTCATTTCACTTCTTTTACAGTCAAAGGTTATTTCTTCCTTTCTTCAAATGAACTCTAAGACTAACATTTTCTTACCCACGTCATCACAGCTCGGTCCTTGGTGTTATACCGGCATTCAGTGATCAGGTTATCGCCCTGGAATAAAAGCAAGAGCCTTCAGGTTAGGGTTTTAGACCGCTTTGCTTATCTAATTCATCCTTAGACCAACAGTGTATGTTTACTGCATGAGGGAGAGCATCAGGCAGCTCGATTCAGAAGACTTTGATCTGCTTAACTCCAGTTTGTTAATACGCTCAGAAAGCAAGTAAACAAGAGGGCTCTCCAAGTTCGGACCAGACTCTGCAGTATTCTAGATGGACATTTAGATAAGGAACTAAAAAATCTGGATACGATTTGTGTATCTAAGCACAGCGAGAAAAGTACCACTTACTCTGCACAGCTGTTATGAGGACATTTGATGCCATAATTAGTATTTAGACTTTAGTAGAGATAATTATTTAGTGAAATATTAGTCACAATCCTACTGTGCTTACTTATATATTCGTTATCATCCTTAAAGCTCTGTAGTTACATTCTTATTTCCTTAGACATTAATAGTAATTTATTGTTTTAGTGCTTTCCAACTTTTTGAGCATTACAGCACACATTAAAAATGAACATCTTTTTTTTTTTTAATAGCTTTCCACCATGGAGATAAGATAAGGTATTTCTGCTGGTGTCATTTCACTTTTGAGAGCAGACTTAAAGGGTCAGTGAGAAGATGGTCCAGTGGATTAAAGCTCTTGCTATCAAGTGAGTCTGATTCCTAGGGCCTTCATGATATAAGGAGAAAAAGAAGCACCCTCTATGAACATGGGCCAGAGGTAGGAATCTCTGGCACCAGTTCCTAGGCTTTCCTCATTGCACCTGAAGTTTCTCAGCTTGCACAACTCTGAGCACAGCATATGCATACATCACAGTTAGGAAGCAATGGGCTAGAACAACCAGCCATGAGACCAATATAGGAGAGAAAGGACAGTGTAGAGGGACTCATAGCAAAGCATTCCTTCTTAAAACATCTTATGCCTGTTGAGGTGTACAACCAGCTAAAAAAGGAACCATGAGTCAAGTATGATCATTAAAACACAAATAGGTCCCTCTTCTTTCTACTAGTTACTTCTGTTTTTTTTTTCTACTGTCCTCCAACAGTTTGTCTTCTTCCTGACAGCTCATGCCTTCTAAAATCTCTACTGCAAGCCTTGTTCAACTGCAAGTCTCGAGACTTGTGTGCCATGGTCATCTAACACACTGTGTAAACTTCTAATGTTTAACAGTCTATTTAAAGATAGGAAATTGTATGACTACTGAGCCTGATGGGCATAGAATGGAGACAATGCATTATAAAATAATAAAAAAATGAAAACTTTCACTATGGTAAAACATACAATTCTCTTCTTCCACCCTAACCCCAAGAATTGGTACACAAGTTGGCTCACAACACCAAGAGTAATGTGCGCGCACACACACACACACACACACACAGAGACACACACACACACACACACGCATATCCATATGCTGGTGGTAACTGACTCTCACATCTTTGTCCCCAAACATGCAGGTCATATGGATTCAAAACTATGTCCAGTTTCTACAAGGTTGCTGAGGATTTGAACACAGGCCCTCATGTTTACAGAGCAAGCACTCTTATCCACTGAGCCATTTCTCCAGCTTTGATTTTTGGAAAAATTATCCAAGGTTCATTGTTCACTCAAAAGAAACTAATAAAATATGTCCCCTCTTCAAGATGATATATCCTAAGGGGCAATTCTGCCATTATCATAATTGTAACCTAAAGGCCCACAAGCCAGTGATCTGAATCTGAGCTGTTCAGTTCTTTCTTTTTTCTTTCTTCTCTCTCCTTTCTTCTCTCTCTCTCTCTCTCTCTCTCTCTCTCTCTCTCTCTCTCTCTCTTTCTTTCATCAAGAACTTGCATTGCCCCCAGGGAATGGTAAGAAAAGTTTCTAGTTTGGGAAGCAGATCAAACACATTCCTGACTCTGATGTAAGCAACACCCACAGTGGGTGGTTTTAAGACTATGAAGGAACAATTCTCTTGGCTAGCAGAAGCCCTACTGCATCTTGGAAGCTAAACCTCATGACAGTCTCTGGAGAATAACATGCATGCGTACTGGTAAGATTGTTTGTTCTTCTGCCAGATACTGAAACTCCTGGAAATTGAAGTCATAATCATCATCATAACCCAGCAACTGCATTTCCTCTCCCTTGCGAAAATGACGCAGCCTGATGCCTTTGCCTGCCAGGTGAGCATGGAGAAGAACTGCAAACACGTGGATTCCACTTGGTTTCTCAGCTCCCAGAGCCTGCAGGACAGGGAGAAAGACCTCATTAGCTCCTGGAGGGCATGCTCAGACAATTTAGGCATACTTGAGGTACAAAGGACAAAAGGATGAAGCAATTTAAGTGAAACCCTTAGTTGCCAAACACCTTGAATTTGGATTGTTGACTTCTCTGTTATCAGCATTTGCCAGAAGAAGGAAGGGAAAGGTACCAACCCGCACTGACTTAGATTTTTTTCTCTTCTTCTGGGAGATGAAAAAATCATACAATGGTCCCAGTGAAAAGATTACAGCAGCAGGTCAACGAGTGCAAAATGCAAACTCTCCAAAGGAGAACCCGATACCACCACTTTCCCCTATAAAAGAAAGCATCTTTCTGAGTGGAATTAAATGATTTGCCCTGTTTCTGCAGCCGCTATGTGTTGTCACAGTAATTTGAATCAGGGTCTAAATGACTCAGCAGAACATGTTCTTTCCACTTCACAATTGTACAGTCACAGAATCCCATATTTCATAAATAATATGACCCATATTGAAACACTTAGATTCAAGAGAAAAATCTGTTAATGGGGGTAGTCATGAAAAACCTACAGTTTACTGCTTCCCTTGTGCATGGTATATTCCACATTTCTTCTTATTAAAAGAAGAAAACCATAAAGCAGAGAAAAACAGAAAAAAAAAAGTGAGTCGTGAAAAAGTACAAAGATAGCAGGTAAAATGGAGAAAGGAGAAAGAAATGATACAAATGAAGAAAACTCATAAAATGCCAAAAGGAAGTAGGAAGAAAAGGTCATGGAAGGGAAAAAATCACCTCACAGGTCATTCTGCACCCTAATTCTTCTCTTCCAGCCTTCAGCATGCTAAATGGGCAGCCAAAGGTCTTGTCCAAATGACATCAATGGCTTTCCAAGAAGCCGTCATTGAACACGTCATAAACATGCAAGGAAACTTTCACAGGTCTGAGAGCATGAGCTAATCTGGAGATGTTGGGTTGTGGACTAGGACACTACTTACCTCCTCTAGGCACTCCAGAGTACAGTGACCCTCAGAACGGAACTCGGGCATCCCTGGAGGGATTGTGTGGAAGAGGCTCACCCAGAGGCCAGCCTCAATCACCCCTGCGTCATATCTCCTTATATCCGTAGTGTGGAAAAACCTCAGCCCAGAACTGTCTATTAAGCCTGTAACAAGAGCACGTAAGCAAGAGAAGATTTGAATACTTCTAAAAGGTTTTCACATTCATTTGAAATGGATCATTCATTTTTGTTAGAAATCTCATGAAGCAAAGGAATACAAGCAGAAATGGATGGAAGACAAAAATTACCTTTGTGAACAGAAATTAGAACACAAATCACCATATTCTTTGTAACCACCATAGACCCATACAATATGCTATGGAGGATATGCTTGAGCTATCTAGTGGACATATTTGACTGCTATCTAACACAAGGACAGAACAACAACAACAAAATTAAAGTCATTCATTATAAGACGGAGTATCCCTAGAAGTTTACTTTATATTGTTTTGGGGTGACTTCAAATCTTACTTATAAATCATTCAGCTACTGATACAGGAATCTACTAAAGGTTAACTCTGTACAGTTTATTAACATCCTTTTATTCCTTAACAAACTCATTAAACAGTTATTAAGAGTTGATATGTAGTAGGCATTACGCGGTTAAAAGACAAATAATACATTCTTTGCTATGACATGTCACTAAAGTGAAGGAGAATATGTGACCCAGATACTATAAACCTGCAATTAATTTTAATTAATTGAAACCTTTCCCACAGGTACTTAGACGTAGATCTATGAAGAGTCTGTTTTTATAAGGAAAGTTTTATAGGCTACTGCCACATCCTCCAGGTTTAATTAGGTCAACAATTAAATACTCTCACACTGTCAGGTACACTCTTTTGCATCAACTGGCAGAAACATGTAATTTTATTTTAATTGTTTCTCTTTCTTACTAGACTATAACTTTTATTTGTTTCATTTTGTTTTGTTTCTACTCAGGGTCTTACTATGTAGAACAAGATGGCCTCAAACTGGCAATCCTTTGTTCTTGGACCCCAAGTGTTGGGATTAAAGGCATTCACCATTATACATAGCTATGACTATAGCTCCCATGGATGAGAAAGTATCTTTTTCACTCATATTAATCTTTAAGCACAGAATAAGCATGTAGCTTATGTTTAACGTTTACTGAATAATTATGTAGTAAAATAATTAAGATTGCTTTAGTTGGTGATTTCACATTTAATATACCAATTTATTTCTTTGCTTTGGAAAATTGTATGAGTACATTCAGAATTTAAATTCATATCCTCACATTCACCTCTTATCAGACAGTTTTTCACCATAGATATCTCTTGAGTACTGTTGTGCATAGCCTATCAAATAACAAATTGCCAGTAGCTTTTAGTGTGCTGGATGGTAGCTTTTTCACAAGAGTTCTTTTCATAAGAAAAATGTTTGGGGCTAGAATTTACTAAAGAAAGAGTTTACTGGGGGCTTGCTTACAGTTTCAGAGGGTTGGTCAATGACTATCATGGTGAAGAACATGGTGACAGGCAGGCATGACACTAGAGAACAGTAGCTGAGCGCTTAGATCTTGAGACAACAACCACAAAAAAACTAAGTAGGAATGGCTGGTGTGCGCTTCTGAAATGTCAAAGCCCCCTTCTAGTGAAACACCTTCTCCAACAAGACAACAACTCCTAATCCTTTCCTAACAATTTCACTAACTAGGGACCAAGTTGACCAAATATGAGTCCATGTGAGCCATTCGTATTCAAACACCACATCCTGTCTCAAAAAATGAGTTGGAAAGCAGTTGAGGAAGGTATCCAACATGGAATTACATACATACATACATACATACATACATACATACTACATACATATGTGCATGCACGCACACACACAGAATTTTTAAACATCACGTGTATTTGAAACTAATTTATATGACAAAAGTACTGCCTATTTTCCTACTTCTTGGTATCAAATATGAGAATGTATTCTTAGGATTTTGTGACCATAGATGCCCATTTGCACAGATGCTGCTAGTTCACCACTACGTCTCAGTGTAACTCTGAATAGCACCCTGTTTTGCTATTAAAAGCATCCTACTTTGGACATACAAGTTAACACTTTCTAATACAAAATTTCTTTTTTCGTTCACTTCAACTATGTTACAGACAATATTTACAATGACATTTTAAAACTGGTAGGTAAAACAAAGAAAGGACTTACCTTTCTTCCGTGTTGGGTTATCATAATGGACTTCTAAAAGCACATAACGAGGATCCAGTGGCATGCCAAGGGATAATCCGACATGAGGTGGATAGGTAAAGCCCTAAATATGGGAAAAAGAAAAACTTCAAGGGACAGTGGAAGTCCCTAAGAGTTCTGGCGCCCAAACCCAACTATTCCTTCAGAATCCTTCAGGCTTTTGTAACCCCATCACTCAATAAGCACAGACAATACAATCATTTAAGGGAAGGAGACTTTCCTATGAAAATGGAAATATAAACAAATCTTTATGTATTTTTGTGTAAGAGCAGTGTGATTCTACTATGGGAGTGGAGAAGCACAATCAAATAATTTTCTACGGTTGGTCACTGTCATTAGCCTCACCTCTCCACCAATGCCCCAGGCGGCAATCACAGTTTCGCAGGTGAGGAAGGCATCTGGCATATTTGGGTGGTAGCACTCATGGCCGAAGTCCAGAACACTGTCGTTTAAGTTACTGCTGCATTGATAGAGCAGGATGTGATGGACCAGGTTCTCATGGCCTCTCTCTATTATTGGCTCCACCTACAATACAAATAACAGATAGAGTGTCATAAATGAGAGCCTTCCCGAATCCTACAGGGTGCTTAGAAACAGCAGCAATGATTTTCCAATCTTCAAAGGTATATCCCCCCTCTCTGCTATATAAAAGGCACTGAGATCCAAACATAAGCTGTCCTGAAGTTGTCGATGATGGTGATGATGGCAGACGAATGGTAACAACAAAGATGAAGACAACTATTCACTTCAAGAGTTGCAGAACCTTCCTAACTTTCTCTCTGCATGTATAACTCATATCTGCTTCTCTAGTTCATTCTGCAATGCCCCTTGCTCTCTTCCAGGCCTTCACACTACATTGTTGTTATTCTTCTCATTCTTCCTTCATATAGAAAAATTCACACCAAGGCTACCCACTCAAACTCAGTCTTCCTCTTTCCACATCAAAATATTATTCTTACCCTACTGGAGGTCTTAGTTGGTTTTATATATGTGGGCTGGGCATGAAATAGGGCTCAATAATGTGTATTTTTATTATAATAAAAAAGGTTACATTCTAATGACAGACTAGGGGGACAATTTGAGAGTCAAAAAAAAAACCCCAACTATTGGTGATGGATGACTATGTCATTTATTGAAATGTGAGGGAGAATCTGAAGCCAGTTAAAACAGGAAAAGTCATTTGGTATTGATAGTCCATGTGAACCTACGCTTTTCTATTGAATTTGTAAGTCTCCTTCATAGTACTTGCCTATTTCAGTCAGGAACATATGAGCCCAGAAGGAACCAAGCATGTAACCATTCCAGATATCGATTCCCACACCCAGATGAAGGGGAATCTGGGCTGTGGGTATGAGCCTTGGTTACAGAGGTCCTTTGGATGCTGCTGCAGTGCCCACACCCTCCGAGCTCAGCGATGCTTCTGCTTTAGCATTCTCTCCTTACATGCAGGCACTGTGCTCAGAAACCCTTGCTTGCTCTTGGCTTCAGATTGCAGACTTAGATGAAGCATCTTCGGCCATTTTCTCCTAGGACATTGCATCTGTTACTTCTGTGGGTTTTCTCTTTTTGTTAGGAAAATCCAGGCACAGAGATGTAGTGGGTAGAAGTCTGGAGTAGGCTGCTAAGAGACTCAACTTAGTAAATTCAGTTCTGTAGTTTCCACTTGTACATTTCAGACACTCATTTATGGAAATAAGGTAACATACGGCATTGTTTGTGCTTATCTTTAAAAGGTCACAAGCCTGAAGGCAGAGACTGTTTTTCATTTGCTTGAAAATGGTGGTGATGGTTCAAACGTGATTATAAAGTTAGCCGTGATTACACAGAACTCTAATTCAGACCTTCTATCAAAATCAAAATCTTGTTTTCATATCTAGTTTGAGCTGTCCGGGGATCTTATAGACTTATTTGGGTGCTTCCGTTCACCCACAAAGACAAAACAAACAAAGTTCTCAACAGGCAGATGTTCAAAGCCAAGTGAAGGTTTTGTTATATGCCTTGGAAGACTTCCAAGTTTGCAATGAGTTCGGCAAAACAGAACTCAGAAAGGAGCCACAGAAAAAGGAAAGAGCCAGATGTTGCCAAGCCAGCTTCGTCAAATCATAGTGAGAGGCAGCTAAGAGTCTGTGATGCTGGGTGATGGTTGAGTTTACGGAAGTTAAAATACTACTTTAAAAATTAAGAGCAACTTTTTGTTGTCATGAGAAATATTGAAATGAGCATTTCAAGCCTCCAGATTACAGTGCATTCTTGGAATAATAATAATATCTATCCTTTATCCAGCAACTCCCAACCTCAATGTCATCCTTCATTTCTATATCTGGTCTACATACTTAATATTAATGGCATAGCTATAAGCTAATTGTTACTGTCTCCATCACATAGAGATTCGCAGAGATGAGGCAACAGGTCACAGACACTTATGGAGAGGGGGATAGAGATGAGAAACCGGATTGTTCTGACTCTGAAGTCTCTTCTGATGGGAATGTGCTGTGACGGGAAGGAGTGTTGGAAAGCCACCAATGCTGCAAGCCACTACCAGCAGGAGGGAAATGAAAGGCTGCAGTAGGTTTAGCTGGAGACAGCTGGGGCAAGAGAAACAGCATAACAGGTTAATGCCAGGAGGTTCTTTGGGAAACCACAAGCACACAAAGCTGCCATTGGAGAAGCTGTATCAGGCTGGAAGTCCTGTGCAGGGAATGATTGTTCTCCTTACTACCCAAGTCCTTTGGCCCATTACTATTTTCTTTCTTTAAAGAGAACAGAAGACAGTGTGTCTCCAGTGAACCTGCCAGAGCTTCGTAGAGAATTTGATTATAACTCCATTTATAGATTACAAATTGAGGGCAAAACCTAAAAGGAAAAAAAATGATTTTTCGAGGAGAAAAATATAAAGCAGATGGGAGACTTGATACAGACCTGGATACTGATTGGAAAAGGAAATGAAGAGTAGTCTGGAAGAAGCAGTGACCTTTGAAACATAGAAGAAGTAAGAGAAAGAAGGAGAAAAGAGAAGGCAGAGATCTAGCCCTGCCCCCACCTTGAGCTGGGTTAGAATGTCTTTGTGGTTTCAAGATGTCCTGCTTGCACCTATTTATTACAGCGTCTTAGAGAGCTGATGTATCAGCTGTTCTGAATTTTGTACCATAAATTAACAATTTTCAGATCTGTACATTTATATGGAGGTCATGACTGCCCCTGCAATTGTTTGGAACACAGAAAACACAAGGCTACACATGTCCGCTGTGATTAATACTATCTCTGTCTTAGACTAAATCTTAGTGTATTTTGCTTTACTTTAACGTGGTAGTAAAGAAGGGAGAAGGAGCTCTCTTGTCCTATCCAACCGCAGAGCACGAGTGACTAGAATTCTTTGGAACAGTTTCTATTTTTTCATCCTTCAAAGATATCTGCCTAAGATGTGGTTCCTTGCTTGTTGGAACGTGAGTGGAGGAGTGGAAAGAAGCTCTCCAAAAGCAACATGCACTTTAATAAATCAATATGTAAAACAAAGGCAGAGGCGATGGGAGGGGTCTGGGATGAGCTGGAACTTTTGTAAGGTTCTATCACTTGTCTTCCTGCTGTTCAAGTCCCTGGTGCTTGGCTTCATAACCCCTCCACTCCCTACTCCTCCCCCCAGGCCTAGAATAGAGTCAATTGGAAAGTCCATAAACCCTGGCAAAGGGCACTCAGAGGTTGGCTGGCTCTTAAAGTGGAGCTGCCTCTGTTGATTCCATTGCCTTGCTCATGAGAAGATGGTAGGAGAAATGTCTGCCCTCACTCCTTTCCACCTTGGCCTCATCCTCATCTCTGAAGTGAATGACATGAGCCTAACAAAACATTCAACCAAACTAGGTGTGGAATGGAATCTTCATCCTATAAGTATTCCACGCTGAGAACAAGTCGGGGACAGGTACAAAGCATGCTTTCATGTGGCCAACAAGAATGAACTTGGCATCTAAAGGAGGTGACAATAGGAGACTGAACTAGGGGAGACATGGAAAAAAGAATGAAGAAAAAAAACAGAAGTAGGAAGAGAGAGGCGAATTCTGTGAAATCATTTCCCCTTTACTGCAGTCTAGAATTCCCCTGAGAATCACCATCCTATACATACCACGATTGACGAGCTCAGGGATGGATACCCAGCCCATCAAGCTGTCTTTGGGTTTCTTAAACTATAAGAAATATTCCACTGCTCTTGAAAGGCCACAGTAGGAGGTGAGCAGAGCAGATGTCACAAGCGATGCATTTCTGACCTGGTACAGTGGGTTCCACAAAGACAGCACAAAGAAGCTCCAGACCTAGGGAACCTTTACTATTCAAAGTTTCTACATTAATCCCTTCTTGCCATTCTGAGATTTAGTCAACCTTTCCTCCCAAGCTGGTTCACCTTCCTCCACCACCCCCTTTCTGGCAATCAAAAGCTATCAAATACAGGTCACCTGTTCTGAAGTTGTCTTTTTTCTTATCTTAGAAATATTGCCACCTAAAGTTGTTCTTACTGTTTTAATTGGATCTGGGAAAGTTATTATTGGTCATTTCAATAAATTCCCTGTTAAGAGCTGGGGGGGGGGGTTGGGGGAGAGGAGGGGGAGGAGAGGAGAAGGGGAGGGAAGGGAGAAAGAGAAAGGGAGATAGTGAGGAAGAGAGGGAGGAAGGGAGAGAGAGGGAGAGAGGGAGAGAGGGAGAGAGGGAGAGAGGGAGAGAGGGAGAGAGAGAATATAAAATACTGGCTCTAGTCTCCACTCTTCTCTCCTGCCCACCGACTCCTGAGTTTCCACACAGGCTCTGACATCTAAGCTACTTGTTGAACATTCAAGCTCCCTTATGAAAGGTAGCAAATTATAACAGTCATTTATATCTGAAGTGAATTTAAAACATTATTTCAAAAATTGAATATTGAGGACATGCTAAGAGACATCCTCAAAAGATCTTTCATGTTACTCCTCAGACAAACAATGATATTGTCTTACACTTTACATGCACACACACGGAGGAAGGGCCCACTGCTTAGAAAGCAGCCGCAGTAGTTATCAATGCTGACGATCTTTTGAGGCGTGTTGTTTGTTTTTTTTAAGTAGAATTTTGCTGTATTGATGATATGTGTCTTGGAGGTTTGGTGCGATATTTCAACTCATGTGCAAAACACCAGTCAAATCAAGGGAATTAGCAAGTCTTCCTTCTTTATTGTTTGTGATTGTACCCATCTGGGGTCAACCTTCTAGATCTTCACTTCAGTGTCTTTATTTTGGACTTTCCACTGTCCAGAATCATAAGTAAGCTTCTGTTCTGTATATATTCCAAGGTCTGAAGTATTTTCTTATAGTAGCATAAGGAATGTGAGCCAGATGTTTGAACACTTGCCCCCGATGGGACTCCAGGTGCCAGCCAGAGTTCCCCTGTTTTATGTACACTGGCTACCTGGCCAGTAATGCTAAGCCATGCACAACAGCTGATCAGATAAAGATTCTTCCCCAACAGTCATGGCCTTCTCTCCTTTACCCCATGTCCAATACCCTCACAGT